GGATCGCGAACGACGAAGAAGGAAGCAGTAGCGATCGAGCACGGCCGGAGCACGGAGCTCCTATCGTTCGTCGCGACGAGGCAGGGGCGAAGGGCGTTAGAGACGCCGTAGCGGGTTTTGTTTTGTTTTTCCCGGCTGGGCCTTTCCCCCTATTTTTCCCATTTCGAAAAATGGGATACAGACGGACCGGTATTGCGTCAGCGGGTGTGCCATGTTTTGCCATCAAGCACCGATGATACCGATGAGTACCTCCCACGCAGAGACGGCTTCACTCCCGGATGCATGTTCTGGGTCCGTCAATTACTAGTACAAAAAGTTCGTATCTAAAACTCGAATAGAGCAAGAGTGATTACATCTATTGAACTCAACCTTCACCCAAGTCCGCCCTTGTTTTTACTCGATTCCTCCAGAAAATCAGCCAGAACCTTTCCCCCCCCCCCCCCCTTTTGTTGTTGTCGGAATCGCGCGGGTGGTGCTAATGCGATGAAACGAAGTACCAGTGGATCGACCTTGAGGCTGTTTACGTGAGGGGAGACCAATCATATTCATGGGGTAGACTTCGCTGGAGCCTTCGGAATCGATTGGAATATCATGTGGTTCTTCTCGAGCTCTTTGTTATTTTTGCATTTATTGTTATGTGAGGCTGAAGCCGTATTGATTGGCACTCTGGGATAGTTTCTGTTCCATCATTCAAGTGGCAGACTCTTTTTTATTTCTGGAGTTTCAGAATTTAAATATGGCAGTACGGTATGGTACGAGTAATTGCATTGATCACATTCCATTGAAATTAGCAAAAAAAATTATTTGAATAAACTTTTGAAATGAACGTCTCATTATGGTTTATATATAATAAAAGAAGCTTTTTCAAGCGTGAATTTTTAGGCCTTGGTTCCCAGTTTTCAGAATTTTTGTTTCGGTCTATATTGTCGCATTTGGAGGTCCACCTGGGTGCCGCCGATATTCCGTTGCCCAAAAAGTGAGCAGTAGGTATAACCGATGTCTTAAACAACTGCCTCAATTTTTGTCTCAAATATTTTTTTCGTCCTCTCCTAAAAAAGGAAAAGATCAAACCGTTGTTGCAAGGCTTTCGTCCCGAAGCTCCCATTCCCCCACGTTTTAGCTTCGTTCACACACTGCACGCAAGCGCAGGTGTTCCGGCTGTTCCCAGCAAGAACGCAGCGAACAACGAAGAGAAAAAGAGCCGCGAAAGTCGCCGACTGAAGGCGCCCAAAGCGCGACAGAGCGAAACTGGACGGTCGAGCGCCCCCGAGGAAGTTTCTCCCCCGATCGACCAATGGGAGAGCGCCACGTCATCGGGAGCGTCTGCTTCTGCGCTCTTCGTTCTGGCCGTTCAGGCAGGGGTTCCTTGACCGCGTGGGTGGCCGTCATCGGCTTGGTGTCTGGACGGGGCTGATTGCATTAACGGCTAAATGAAGTTTGCTTTCATTCTAATTACTATAAACTTCCTGATTTCCACTAACTGGCAAATGAAGACGCAAAATGGAATGTTTCCCCCTCCCCCTCCTGTAACGTAAAAGGAAATCGACACCGACTTGCGGAAATGTGTTTTATTTCTTGACATGCTCCTTGGCAATGCTAATGTTTCGAAGCTGCATCGATGACCTGACGCCGCATGCATAGAAATCGGTTCGGTTGACTCTCAATCACTTCCGGTCGCGAGTTTCAATCTCTTCCTCACTACGCTGGTCATTGAGACGTTCGTTAAGTGGCCCCAAGCAGGCCGAAATCACATGGCAAAAGGTGGAAATGATACCCTATTTCAATTTAGCGATGGTGTCGGTGGTTAGACGAGAAACGTGCTGCCGCCAATCGTCTTGTCTGTTGTCCCCCGTCTCTTCCGAATGTCGGGTTGAACCGGATCCTCCAGAATTCGGAAGGAATCCACGTTGACCTCGTCGCCATGGATCATGGGTTCAACGTGGATCACCCCAGAAATTTCCCCCAAAAAAACCGTTGCCACGACCGACGAAGGCGTCGCGCAATGCATCGTCGGTGGTGGAAACCCTGATGGCTTCCCTCGCGTACTTTTTGTTCCTGAGATATGGAGATCCTTCAACGAGAAGCACATTCCCATCACTTTCCGCCATTAATGCAGAGCAAGCCATATGGTGGCGGGATCTGGCAACCCTTCACGTTACTTGCTGAGACATATTCAGGCTCCCTGATTAGACTTGCCCATAAAAAAAACTGAGACCACAGCGAAAGGGCAGGAATAAATTTCTCTTCCCTCGTACCTCTGGCGGCAACAAAATATAATGAAACAATTATTATATTATCTACCTATAATATGCTATGGCATATATAATAATATGCTATGGCGTCTGTGTGCATGTAAGAAATCATATGCGCATGCGCGGCCTCCTCTGCCTGGCTCCGGCTGTCCATCTCTCTCGCACTTCCTTCTCGGCCTTCGCGGCTGTCGGATCCGTTCTCGGGAACGGGAGAGAGCGGCTGCTGCGTTCAGCTTTGGGAGGGCCACTGACTGAACTCGCGAATGCCCGACGATGCTATACGTTGAGCCGACCGAAAGTTCCTGGAAGCGTTCCACGTATACTCTAGTATATTTATATTATGTAATTATCGAGATTCACCGCATAAAAGCTGCCTCAGTTTATTCTTCCGATTTCAGTACGGATAGGATGGAAATTGATTTTTCGATGTTGAAAATTTTGGCTTCGCAATTGTTAATTAAAAACTGAGACTGAAGGCTCCCATGTGGACTGCTTTCTATTTTAAATTTATGCAGGAGCAATTCTCAGACAGTCGATTCCACTAATTAGAATACCACGCGATTGAATATTATGGTTCCAATTTTTCAACTATAAGATGCACATGAAAAACATCGCTGAAAAAAACACGTTAATTAAAACAGAAATAGAACAAAGGAATAAACTTTTCTGAAATAAGAATGACTTAATTATTAAATCGCTGAAAAAAAAAGAAAATAAAAACGAACCCGCCTTTTTCAGACGGAAACGAAGGCAAGTTCGTCTGTGAAACAATTTGAGAAAAGGAGAGATCCTAGATTGCAATACTGGTGGCCCATCAAAACGAAATGGATGAAGAAAGATAATCGAAAGATAATCGAAAGGTAGTGGATGAAAATTGCGAAAAGAAATCTCGTAAAACAAACAGGACAATTTTTACAGAAGAAAATTGAAAAATATAAAAGCGCAAAAAAAGGAGAAAATTCAAAATAAAAAAACTGGAAAGTAAAAAAAAAACTAAAAGTGCAAAAAATTTGCAAGAAAAAAAAAGCACAAAAGCGGGTACTGAATTATATATTTTTTTTTTTAGGAAGCCTGAGTTTGAAGCATCCATCATGAGTTTGCATCCGAAATGTCTAATTGATGTGTTCCAGTTCGAAGGAAAGCTTCTGAAAGTATGAGGCTTTCGACAAATCCGGAAGAAATTTCGAAAATTGTGAGGTATACACTTGCAATGGCCCTGTTCGGCAAGTTTCGAAGAGGGTATCATGTGTGGAACTCTGACAGGAGTGTTTACATATTTAGTGGATATTGGTTAGTTGGTTTTAAAGAATGGAATATATAAAACATTCGAAAATCCTTTTCACTCTTCCATTTGCCAATACTTCAAAAATGAATGGAAACAATGCATTTCCTCTTTTTGGGGAGTGTAGATGCATGCCACTTCGTTCCCGACTTCCACGAAAAAAAAAGTGCTGAAATAAACGACGACAATTATGCGCAATGTAATATATATATATATATCTTTATTCCGATCACAATTTTGAAATGACAGAGAGAGAGAGAGAGTCCTGCAGCACACGGTACGTGGTCCCCGTTCGCGACCTCCCAGCCCCGCTCGCGACCTCCCAGCCCCCGTTCGCGCCCTCCCAACCCCCGCCCGCAGCGAAAAGCCCCAAGGAGAAGCCGCGCGGCCGGATGGCAAGGGACGACCGAGGTGCATCCCCGGACGGAAGAGGTCGGCTGGAGCGAACGCCGACGTCGTTCAATTCACTCTTTCAACCGCGAATTTCCCCCCCCCCGCTCTTCTCGCCAGCGCTACGTTCGTCAGCTGCAACGAGGCTTCTCAACTCAATAGTTGCCACTCGTACCATTGTCAGGCCGAATCTGAACGACCGAAAGAATGCAAAGCAAAATCTATTCAAATCTATGCAAAACCTAATCTGATCATCTCTGAATAAACTCAAGCTTTTCCCATCTTCGGTATGTTTTGGCCTGTTCCCAGGAAAAAAAATTACTCCATTGATTCTCACCACGCCCAAGACGTCATCCGTTTGTCGTTGTGAGGGCGTGAGGAAACATCGGCGAATTTTGTGTACATTTAATAAAGTTATATTGACTGATTAATTTTGGAGATAGAAAGAAGCTTAATTCAAAAGTTTGCCAATATAAAGAGACTACGGAAGGAAAATTTTCCTTCTCAGCTTGCTCCTTCGTTATTATGCAGATTTTTATGCTAACTTCTTGGCATCCATTTTATGTGCTCCGCCTTATCCTGAGAGAAAATGAGACTTTTTCTCTCCTCTGATTATTTATTGATGCAGGGGGGGGGGGGGGGGGGGGGGGGGGGGGGGGGGGGGCCTCTCAAGTTTTGACTTCTCATTTCTCATTTTATCGTTTTATATCGTAAGTTCGTGCTTTTATACCGTATCTTCACGCGGCGCCATATCTTTGATCATATATTGTGACTGTTGGATCGGGCACAAAGTGTCGCTGTCTTCCATGTCGTCGATGTCGTTTTAAGAACGGAATACCTTTCGTGTTCCATACTTTTTGTCGCTCTCGCTGCAGCCAGCCAGCCCGAAGGAGAGAGCAGGCGCGGGCGTGAATAATCGCGAGATGGCTCAACTAAGAGGAACGAGTGCTTCTAGTATTGCCAAAAATGGGGGGAAAACATGCAAACTGGCGCGTTGGCTTTTTTGTGATTTTGTCATTGCATATACGATGTAGTCAAATATCGGGGAACATGCTTCATGTATATTTTTTCAATGGAAACGAGGAGAAAAAGAAAGAAGAAAACAGGTGAGTGCGTCAATAGGAAGACCCCTTCATGGAGATGCTCATCCGCCTCTCGTAGATCGGGTTCACTTTGGGCGGGGAATTCCTCTGGGCGAAAGACGAGGAAGAGGACGGGGGGGAAGCGAACCACCGGGATCCGTTCCCGAGCCGGCGCTTCTCCAGACTCCCGTCCGTGGAGGCCCGGCTTCGGAATTCTTTAGGTTTCTCCTCGTCTCCTTCCTCTATCACCACGGAATCTGCCGAGAAAAAGCCCTTCAAGATAATTGGACTGCTCCTCCTACTCGCGACAGGCTCTCGAGATCTCATTCGTCCGACAAGAGACTGCTCCAATGAAGCCCGCCGACAACGACGAACAAGATGATGCACGACCGAATTCCAAGAAAAAGAAGCGACTCCTCACCTGAGCAGCAACTCTCGAGCGAGTAATTCTTCTGGAAGAGAGTGTGGAAGCGAGACTGGAGGATGGTGGCCTCGCCCGGGCTCGTCGGCGACAGCGTTTCGTTGTAGTCGCTCGGCGATCTGTGGAGCCTGAACAACGTCGACTTGCTCTGCAGCTTCCAGCACAAGTACAAGTCTTCAAACACTCTTATCACCTGCAAAGAGACGGGGATCACGGAACTGTGAGATCCCAGGCAAAGCACTCGAATACAGTAATTCAGCGTGTTATAGCTCTTCATATTCATATTTGAATCGCTCTGTCTGAATAACAGGATAGACATTCGGTATTCAAATCAGAAGAATTACCTAATAACGACATTCTAGTCAGTCATCGCTGAGTGCAAATCGGTTTTCTGAATTGTTGGCTCTGAAACTAACAATTCCCAATGAAAATTCAATACTAACGTGTCTTGGGATTCCTTCGTTTTAGAAACGTTATGAAATGATAAACTTGCAAACATAATTCATGTTCACAAGTTCCACGCCCAACAGCTGATATCCAGATTTTCATATTTATAATCGAACAATGAAACTCACATACGAACCACCCCCCAAGCAATACCCCATCCCCCACTAAATGTTCTTCCTGCAAACGAGATTCCTCCCGGCAAATGAATCCCAGCTCCCCTCCCTTCCTCCCTTCCTCCCTTCCTCCCTTCCTCCCTTCCTCCCTCCCTCCCTCCAACTTGTACCTTCTCCTCCCTGACCTTGAGAGGGCCATCTGCGTCTGGCACTTGATGACCCCCTTCTCAGTCTTCTTTCGTGCTCGTCGATAGAGGATAGATCTGTGCACGGGAGGAATTAGCGAGATTAGGTCAAGGACGATCCTCCTAATCCCTGCGGACGTCATCATCTACTTGGTCTGGGACTCAGACATGCACCTCTCGGGTGCACGGGTCCATCATGATTCGCTTCTGCCGAGAATTATTTATTTATTAAATCGAATATTTCGATTCATTCCGGATTCGAAAACTTTCGGATTCTTTTCCCTGGATCTCATGGCACGAACTGCGGGGAAATTCTCGCCCTTCTGGTTCTGCCTTCCATTAGGGAAGATTCTTTCCGCGAAAATGAGGTCACAGATCTCGAGGTCGGTCGTTTCCAGGAATGGAATCCACACAAAAAACGGATTAAGGCCATTCCCGAGAAGAATGACCACCCGTTGCACGGCATTTCTTTTTCTTTCTCAAAGGTCAAAGGCAGGAACATCAACGTTAATCCCTTTCCCGTGTGCTTACTTGGTACTGGTGCTCTTCCATTCTCAAACAGAGTTTCGACCTTTTTTTTGCACGGTCGAAGGAAGAAACTTAATTAATACGAATAAGAAATTAAATATCCGTTATGCTATTAGTTTCATTTTAAGGAATCCTTCTCGCAAGAACCTTGCACTCACGCACGGCCACGCGTTCTCGATCCCATCTGCCCCTCACAGCCGCGCAACCGCGCGTAAAAATCACGCCAGACACATGGAGCCAAAACGCTCTCGCCGGTCATCCGACGCCTTTCTCCCCCAGCTCTTCGCTCCATTGACAGTTGCCATCGCTTCGGCATCCATGGATTTATTAGAGGAAAAGACTGCTTTAAGCCCTCTATCGTTTTGTTTGCGATCGGTCGCTTTAAAATCATTGTATCTGACATATCGATAACTTTTCCCCTTCCGCGTCAAAGGTGGATCGTCCTATAGATTCACATATTGCTTCGTGGCCTTGGGAATCACGAGGGGGGGAGCTGTATATTAAATTTTGACCTAGTTTCTCATCTGCCTCATCTTTCTCATCCAGACTACCCCCCCCCCCCCCCCCCCCTCCCCTCGTCAGACTATTTCAGAGATAGCAAGAAAGAAAATTTTAGCCTGCGTCGAATTTGTCAAAAAAAATCCGTTGATCATGTGGCCGCGGATAGGCGCCGTTTCCCATCAACACCAAAGAACTAAGAACAACAAGAAGCCAAGAGTTTCTCTCATGCTCGCCTAGCAATTCCTCCTCAAACCGGACATCGCCGTTTTACATCCAAAATGCAAAATTTCACTGCCGGCATGGAACGGACGTCAGAGAGCGATCTCTCCTGTTCCGCCCCGAAAGCGATGAACCGACGCGAATTACCAGTCGATCCCCCCACCAGGTGGATCCTGGCCGGGAAAAGTCGCCCTGGGGTTCGAGGACGGAAGGAAGGATACCTTTAAGTGAGAAAGAGCCGATCACCACTCATCGATATATTAGTTTGTCTGTCCTGCAAAGGCCGATTTTGCGAAGTCCGATCGGTCCGATCGGAATCATGGCCCGCTCCCGATCCGGAATTCGATTGCCGACCGAGTTTCGTGGGCTCGCCCCGTTTATTGGCCCTAAGCTCGAGAAGTCGAAGATGCCCAAAGGCATCTTCGACTGTTCGCTCTATTCCCATCGGCGTTCCAGATCCAAACGGTGAGGCCTCATTTGAATACTATTAGACGGAACTCGATGAAAATTGGCGCGCTTAGGTAAACTGCGAGTCTTTGATGATGGAAATCATCCCCCATTCCTGCGAAATTCGAACGAGGAGTCTCATTCGAATGCCACGGGCTGAAACTCGATGAAAATTTGCATACAGACAATAGGGAAGGCTTCCTGATGACGGAACGCATCTCCCCTATCGATCCAAAGCCTCACTTCCGAATTCGAATGTTGTGTCTCCTAAGAATGCTATCGAACGGAATTCCTTGAAAAACGGTAAAAAGGGAAAAATGGGGGTCTCTGATGACAGGAAGCACCCAATATTACTGATCTAAAGTACGGCTTTTCAAAATTCCAGCGGTGTGTCTCATATGACTGCTGGGCGACCAAAGCCGATTAGCCTTAATTAGAAGGACGTGAACCATTCCCCCCCCCCCCCCAAAAAAAAAAAAAAAAC